AGCTTCATTGAGCAGCCATCGTCCGGCTGGGTGACTGATTCATTTGAAACTGATGATGAAGGAGAGGCCGTCTACTGTGAACCACCCAGGGAAGGTACAACAGTTATATTTCTAGTTTCACACTCTTTCTGTGTTGTTTAAACTGTGGTTAGGGCAGCAGCTAGAGTTTTGCTTTGGCTGTTCTTTTTAGTTGATAATGTAAGCTATGATATTTAATGTTATATTTTATTATATGTTACATTTACTATATTCATAAATATAATATTAAAGAACACTAAGACTTTAAAGTTAAATGTAATTTGCACCAGACTACTGTTTGAAGGTTTTGGGTCAGTAAGATATTTTTGAAACAAGTCTTTTATACTCACCAAGGCTGTATTTATTTGAACAAAAAAAATAATAAAAACAATAATATTGTGAAATATTACTACAATGTAAAATAAATGTTTTCTTTTTGAATATATTTCAAATTTCGAATTTTCAGAAGTCATTACTCCAGAAATCATTATAATATGCTGATTTGGTGCTCAAGCAATGTTTCTTCTTATTATCAACAGTTGTGGTGATTAATATTTTTGTTGAAACCATGAGGATGTATTTTTTATGATTCTTTGATAAATAGGAAGTTCAAAAGAACAGCATTTGTTTGAAATAGAAATATTTTGTATTATCATAAATGTTTTTACTGTCACTTTTGATCAGTTTAATGCATACTTTAAATACAAATTTCTTTACTGACCCCAAATTCATAAATTCATAGATTAATTATTTTAGAATCCATCTCTGAGAAAATATTTGCTGGAAAAATATTATTTGGGGAAAAAAATATATTTGCGCCATAGTCAACAGCAATATACTGATTCTTATTAAACGTGTTTCTCCTCACACAGATGTTCTTACTGTGGCCGGTGGAGAGCTTCAGGAGCTGAGCTCTAAGTGTAACTTCTTCCCTGACCCATCAACCTTCAGCAGTGACGACATGTCACAGGATTTTGGTATCCCTCGTACCTCCAGCATTGCCAAATCCAAACGTCCTTCAGTCTCTTTCGCAGAGGGCACAAAGTTCAGTCCTAAAGAGCACCGTAGCTCGACTCAAGACCTGCCAGGAACAAGTCGGAAACCCAAGGCCTGGGGCGTGCTGATGATCTCTGCCCTGCAAGGAGGACAGGGAAACCACAGTGAAACAGAAACAGAAAAAGAAGAGAAAAACCATGAGGAGACCATCTCCTCTGAGGAGCAAGCAGCTGCATCTGAAACAACACAAACTGACTCGGAAAGATACAGTTCTGGCCCACTAAGAACTCACCTCACTGTGCCCAGTGGGAGACGACGTACACTTTCCAATACCAGGAAGAATGCCCAACCGTCTGATAGCGGCCAGGATACAGACTCAGAGAAGTTAACAACTGTATATGTAACTGTGGGTAAGACCCAAAAGATGGCCAAGCAAGAGCCCCCCTCAGAAGGGCCTGTTCAGGCGATGCTGCGCAGACTGGGCAGCCTACAGAGACAAAGAGAGGAGGCCACCCAGCCCAAAGGAAGGGGGCAGGCGATCGCTAAGCCACCGCGGAGGAAACTGGGAGCGCGGGCCAGTGCGTGGGAGCAAGCTACAGGGTCAGACCAGTCAGAGGTGGTCATGAGGAAACCTAGTCGCAGGAAGCACAACTCCCTCAGCTCTCCCTGCACAGTGGGGGCAACAGACTTTCCTCAGGAGAACTGCACCCCCAAGAGGCCGTTGTCCTCCATTTTAAAAGGTGTTCCAGAGAGTGATACACTCCATAGTTTGGAGGTGGAACAAGACACTGGAGTAGTTTGTGAGACAGACACTCTGACAGAGCACAGTTACGAGACTGATGGGGTCTCCACATCTTCAGAGATTATTATTAATGAGACAGTTGTGGACCAAGCAGAAAATGAGCCAAATTATGAGAATGTTTATGTAAAGCATTCATAATATTCCTGAATCTTAAAGTTTATGATTTAAAGGGCAATAAAGTGTTTTTAGTACTGTATGTAGGTTTTGCATAAACTGCATAAACATACCTTCATAGAAAACTGTTTTGTTTGTTTGTATATTCCCTATAATAATTTCTATTATAACGTTACTTGGCTTTTTTTAAATACACTTTTTAAAGTATTTTATCAATATGTTGCCCTCATAACCCCTTAAGTAACTGATGTGTCTACCTATACTGACATTTAAAAGTTTAAGGTCAGTAAGATTTTATTCTTCTATTTTTAAATTAATACTATTATTTAGCAAGGATGCTCTAATTTAAGCAAAAGTAACAGTAAAGACTTTTGCATTGTTAAAAAATCTTTTTTTTTTTTTTTTAAATAAATGCTGTTCTTTTGAACGCTTGATCAAGAATCCTGAAAAAATATATCAAGGTTTCCACAGAAATATTAAGCAATACAACGGTCTTCAACAATTTCTCAATTTCTCGAGCAGCAATTCAGCATATTAGAATGATTTCTGAAGGGTCATGTGAAACTGAAGACTGGAGTAATGATGCTGAAAATTCAGCT